TTACTGTACCGGACTATCAAGATGAAATTAGATAAAAATAAAACTAAAAGCAAGAAAATGTTCAGAAAAATACAAAATTACAGGAAAAACCAGTCATGACAGACTCATGATCCAAGTGGGTGTGCAAACTGAGTCGAACGCAATCATTAAGACAGTGTTCCAGTACAGGAAAAAAGATGTACAATTGCCACAGGTTATTATTAATGTAATGATTGAGAGGTAGAGTTGTTTGATGTGAAAACACAAACATGGCTGCTTATCGAGATTGATGGGAGCAGTGATAGTTGTAGAGTCTAACAGCTGATGAGCCTAATGTCTTCGGAAGAAACCTTTAATAATCACACAAGACCAAAATTCAGCTCTTTGTCCACAAAGAGAAGTGTTTAGAGCGGTCAGGGTGAGGCTTTAAAACCTGAGAACACTGTACCAGCTGTCAAGCATGGCAGTGGTGGTAGCATCATGCTGTGGAGCTGGTGCAGTGAAGAAGGAGAAATACCTTCAAATTCTTAAAATGTCCCCCTCAAATCTTCAGCTGTAGAGCTGAAACTTGAGTTATGTCATTATTCTCCTGGAGTCTGTGTTTCATTGCTTGCGGAGCACCTGTTTTCTGTTCTGATTAACGGTCTTGCTCTGGATGTGTAGGTGTTGTCCTACAACCTGTGCACCGTGATGAAGATCCCTCATGACCCCATGYACTTTGAGAAGCATTTCAAAGATGACAACGAGGGCCCCCTGTCTGACGAGGGCTACATGCCTTACCTCAACAGGTACATCCTGGACAAGGTGAGGACCAAACGTTTGGATTTTCACAGAAATTCTGAGTCAGCACACAAAAAAACYTCAAAGCTTATGTTAGGATTTATTGCTAAATAATCAGAGAAAATAAATCTTGTTAATTAGTTAAAATACAAGTAGTTCCTTTGATAAATGCTGGCTCACACAGATTAAGTTGAATAATATTACTAACAGAGTAGCAGTGTGTTACACATTAAACAGAACAGTTGAAGCTTTTAAAATGTAACTCACMTCTTCAGTTCAGCTGCTCGGACTTCACTCTGTGAGCCTGTTTTCTGGCCTTTTCTCTTCRGAGCTCTGACTTGAATAAAAATGAGATTTTCTGGTGACATCACACTTGCACTTCACATCCCGCGGCGCTCCTGAACAGAACCAAACAAAGACCCCCCATGCTTTGTAAACAGACTCGTAACACTGGTGTCGGTTCTGACTCGGCGCCGTGCTTCTGATCACAGGTGTGTGAGGATTTCGACGTGATCGAGTTCTACCGGATGTGCTGGACGCTGTGCTACAAGAAAAACATACACGGTCAGCGCCTCATCATCTCAGACAGCGACGCCTTCAAAGTCTGGTGCATCTTCGACTTCCTGTCTGAAGACAAATACCCGCTCATCATCGTCATTGAGGAGGTGAGGAAGAGTCTGATGGGGTTATGTTTGGACAAATGGCACAAACAAGAGATACTAGAAAAATGTGATATGAAATTAAAAGAAAACATAAAATATGGTTCTATTTTTGTCCGTARGACAAATATAGACAAATCCAAAGTGACTAAACTAAAATCTCACAAACKGTTRCTGTTTTRYTTTTAACACTATTAAGTTTATTTAACCACTTTTATTTMAACTATTTTATTAATTTCTCTTTAAGTCAATTCAAACTTAAGTTGTTTGATGTATTTCATACATACAGCAACCCAATAGGAACAAAAATGCAAATGGAAAAAACACAAACGTGCAAAGCAGGCAAATATTTCACAAAGCTGAGAAAGTAAATTAAATTGTATGTCAGTGACTGAATAAAGTTTTTAAAAAGAACATTATCTCTGGAAATATGCTTTTGCATTATTACAAAAAAAAACTAATTTCTTGTGTGAACTTTAAACTGATTAACACAGAAAAGTTAAACTGCACAGGATCAAGTTTGATCCTGAAAGAAAAATGAAGTGTTCCTCATGATGTCAATGACTCTGATCTTTAAATGGTTAGAAACTGATTTATTAAATCATAAAACAGTCAAACCTTCTTGTTTTTATTGTTGCATTTTTAAGTTTTACTTAGACCTGGAAGAACCAGATGGTGTTTTCCAGTGTTGTATAAAGTAACACAAGTAATACTTGAGTAAAAGTACAAGTATCTTAC